TTTATTACTCTTTTGTACAAAATTTTTCAGGTATTCGCGACAGATGAACTCCTCAATCTTGTCGCAGAGGCTTTTACAGTTCTCAGTACTGTGACCGTGATCCTTATGGAAATGACAATATACATTCTAATTCCTAGTGGCGGGGTCCCCCTTCATCCGGGGTGGCCACCTTACAAACGGAGCGCGTCTTTAATCGTCATTAAAATTTCCCCCCGCCTCGCGTTGAGGGAGTGTAACTCGTCCTTTCCACTAAAGGAGTTCAGGGGTGCCATCCTGACTTGCTGTCTCCCCTGGTCGAGGACTTGCTCTTCTTCCTCTTACCGCTTTCATGGTGTGTCTTGTCATCATCCCTCATTCTCTTCTCCGCTGGAGCTCCGGCCTTTTAGTTCATTTCCTCTTCAGTCTCGATGAATTGGTCAGCGAGCTTGAGAAAAGAGGTGATGTCCTTGGGCTTGTTCATCGCTACGTGCCACTTGAACTCCCGGTGAGTGATTCCTCTCTTTGTTGCGGCGAGTTTCACCGCGGGGTCCAAGTTCGAGATCAAGAGGCAGGTATCATTGAAGTGCTTGATGTAGCTCCGAATGGACTCTCCCTCTTTCTGGACTATGCCAAGAAGGCTTTCCTGCGACCTCAGACATTTCTTGCTGGTAACGAAGTGCAAAGTGAATGCTCATACGAACTACGCCCAGCTCTGGATTGCCCTGGATGGGAGGTTTCTGTACCACATGCGCGCCACTCCTCTGAGGGTCGTGGAGAAGGCAACGCACATGCAGGCTTCACTGGCCCCGATAAGGTGCATCTGCGACTGGAAGGAGTATACATGGTCACTCAGGTCAAACGGAACGCCGTACTTGTCTAGAGGAGGTACCTTAAAGTCTTTTGGCATGGGAGCTTTCAGGAGATCAGGAGAGAGGGAAGATGGCACCGAGAGAAGAGGGGTGGTCTTTGCGACTCCCGGGCCCGTTCTCGTCTTACCTATGGGTTGCTCGGGTTGACTCGACTCCGCGAGTTGTTCAGGAATTATCGTGCGGCGATCCTTGGGACGCCGCCTTCGTTCTTTCTTGGTGGATCCGTGTTGGTGCTGCTTGCTTCAGTGCTATCAGGCCGGGTCTTGGCCTGGTGAGAATCGGGCTGGTACTGGCTTCCGCGAACCGAAGGGTCTTGCTCAGAGCTCGCGGCCAAGACTTCGAATTGGTTGCCCGTCAGTGAGGTTTCCAGTTGCACGCGCTGGGACGGACCGGCCTTGGTGGGGCGAGCGCTTTCTAATCCGCCTTGTAGCCGCGAGGCAGTGGAAGCTACTGGCTCTCTCCTGCTACGGGATGAGGCTTGGGAGATTTCTCTTTGGCGAGGATGGCTACTTCGGCGGTGGTTGAGCGATTGCTAGTTCTGCGGCGTTATTGGGCACCGCGGCTGGGCTGATCCCAAATCTCTGCCGCGACGATCTGTTGTTAGGTAACGCCTCAGAGTGATTGGCTGTTATCGTCAAGACTGGGGAGCAAGTGGGCCAATGTGACCGTTGTAGGGTACGGTCCCGCTAGGCAGGAGACAACCTCCGGGGTTGGTAGGCACGCCGCCGCCAGACGAGAGACAATGAGTGTAGTCCTCAGAGTTGTCAGATACTGTGCCGTCAGACAAGAGACGTGGGAGCAGCCTTCGAGGTTTGGCAGGTACGGTTGTCAGACAAAAAGCTTATTGCGGGACACCGGGCTACTCGATAACGAGCAGCCTTCTAGCGAGCTACCTAGTGGCGAGCTACTTGTGATGAATTGTTGGTGACGTGCCGAGGTGATCCGTCTCCGAGGCGGCTCACTTGCCTGGGTCTAGACTGCCACGAACTTGATCATTTTAATTTGTGAAATGGGATGAACTCGTCCCGAAGTACCTTCATCTCAGGACATTATTGTACCCGAACTCACTCCATAGCGAGCTGATACTTGCTGAGTTGTCATCTACGTTGTCATGTCCATGTGCCGATCTGCTCATGTCGAGTCATGTACACGTGTCGCCTGATTATGAAATCGGGCCAAATCACCCTTCATCAGCTATGCTTTGGTTGCTGTTGAAGAACATGATGAAAAACTCACCGTTGCTCTACTATTAGTCTCAAGGTTGAGGATGATGAACAGTTTAATAAGAAGGGTATTTTAGGAATTTTAAAAATACCAACCATATGATGTCACATGTGAACAGAGTGTGATAGAAAATTAATAGCAAGGGAGGTTTTAGACAATTGTCAAATATAGTAAGGATACTTTAAGACAATATGTAAACAATAAAGGCAGAGTTAGTCAATTAGCTAAACCATAAGGATAGTTTAAGAAATTTACCCTTATTTTATCTAGTCAATGCCTCCATGCCTCCATGCCTTCCGTACACGTATACCAATATCTGAGGTCCAATGGCGATCCTTTACTCGCCTAAGTGTTAAATTTATGCTATGTTTTGGTTTGAAGGAAAACGTAGGGAATGGAAGAGAAAGGTGAAACCAGTACAACCAAACATAACCTTACTGCCTTTGTGATTACGGAGGTAGAGATGGCATGTCCCCACGAAGCAGGCCCCGATTATGACAGGCATACTAGGGTAGGGCAGGGTGGGGCAAAATCAGGGATCCCCATTTCCTACAATGATGGGAATGGGATTAAGATTTCTAACCCTTAGTGATATTCAAGGCAAGGTACTTGAGTTTAAGGTCGGAGATGGGACATGCAATTGGGATCTCCTACCAATAAAACACATTCCAATCCCCTGCCAACATGATCTGGCACCACACATCTCACCATGAAACTGGGACCCACCATAAAAGTGGGACCTGCCATGTATGATATGTGTAGTGTCAAATCATGTTGATAAGGGGTTGAAATGTGTTTTGTTGGAAGGTGATCCAAAAAACCAGAGAGAATGATTTTTAATTATTGACTAGATTTCCATCTTTAGGACATGAGATGGGTTCTATTTGAATTATTTTCATAAACCAATGAGATATGTAATTCACATTGAATTTGAATTTGAACTTTAACTTGGACTTTATAGTGAGTCCCATGAGCGAATTTGAGTTTATGGGGGTAGCGCCCAAATGGAAACCCATGAAAATTTTGATGTCTACACTCCTATATATCAGAAAAGTCACATGGCATTATCTCTTGATCTCAAATCTTGAGTTCATCTTCGTTTGTTCTCCTATTATTATTAAAATCACATATCATAATTCTATTTTAATGCTACATTTTTTTTAATTACTTGTTTCTACAATATTTGTCCATAATGTCTAAATAGGTCAATTTAATTTTGTTATATAAAAACAATTGAGAAAGAAAGAAACCCTAATTTCTCTCTCTCTCATTCATATATTGAACAGGTCATTATTCAACTAGTAAATTTTGAAAAAAAAAATTAGTATCAAAAGAATTTATATTAATGTAATACGGTAATACCAATTTGTTATTGATGCAGTTGTGGGTTTTATATAAGCTTTTAATTACTGGCTCTGCTACCGTTTGCAGATCTAAATTTTATTTTCAAAAAGATCTTCACAAAAAAAAATCTTTTTTAGTTTCAATAAATTCTGTTTCTTTTGCTATCAAAAGATATATGAGATTTAAGAAATTTCATAACATAATTTCTCCTATCCAAATCATTTCACTATATCCATGCATTTCCAAACTCTCTTGAAATGCATCTAAATTTCTAAATTGCCTTTCCAATTCTATTTGCCATACCAATATCATAAATGTTCCCTTCATCCTTTTTTTTGTAATGCGCTACACAACAGCGAGCCTGCATTTCTAGAAAGCAAAAAAAAAAAAAATACAGAATCTAGTTGCACCTGAGAAATATCTTTTGTACATGTATACAGGAGATGTTCCCAATGTGCAATTGAATGCTTATACTTGCAGAGTGTGTGCATGGCTTAAGCTTTCAAATCCCGTCACCATAATAAGGGATAAACCCTTACCCAATCCCCCAAACCCCTCCAGCCTGTAATAGGCTCAATCCCAAGTAAACCTGCAAAAAGTTGATCCAACCCATGAACCTGATCCTATCCTACCCAAAAAGCAGGGTAGAAACCTGAAATGGAAAATGACCAAACCAAACCCAACCCAACTCAGAAAAATGTTGGGTCAGGTCACGAGGAACCCACTAGGTCACCCATTTTCTAACTAATGTTTTCAACTTGTAATTGACCCAAATGATTCAATTAGACCCCTATGTTTTTGATAAAAACCCACTGATTTGGTCAAACACCCACTAACCCAGGTAGTTGAAACATTTACTTGTTCGCCCTGTGAATCAACTGACCTAAGATTTAGGGCTAGGGTTCAGCATTATTAATCCAAACCGAATCAACAAGGAATTGCCTTGATCCAACCAACCCAATTGCCAGGTTTAAGCCCAGGTCTTCATTACAAGTTTACAACCAATTAGAGACTTTACCAGCAGCAGACTAGCTAGCACTTTCATCAATACGGAGCCATTTGTGGGATTCAACTATTCCATTCATCCCTTGGTTTGTGATATAAAATAAGCTAGGAACAAATATTATTACGTTGCAGAAGTTGTAAGAATAGAAGATTTCAATCCAAAATGGGAAAAATCATATTAGTGTTATTTAAGGACTCGCACAAGATATTTGTCCTGTTTATCTTTTTTTTTTTTTTACTGCAACTGTTTATCTCTCTCTATAAGTGCATTGGTCATAATTAGCAGGGAGGACAACATTTCCATTTCCCATACAACCTGTTCAAACAAAAAGATCCAAAAACCACTTGAAAGTTGAAACAATGTGCTGCAGTTCCTCCAACTCCAAGTAACAAGGCGCAAATGGAACTTCAAAATCTGAGTCGTTTGGACTTCAAGTTAAAGAAGTTAGAACACGGTCATACTCAGGGCTAGACTGGCTAGTAGACACCAATAAACCTCCCTTTTAATCCTCGCTGGTATATGCAACCCCAAAATTAGCAAACTTACAGAAAGGAGACATAGTAATAATATTTACACCGTGAACGGAATACGCCAAAAACTGCGTAGAATATTTGTGACTGCTAGAGAGACCAGAGTACAGTACAGACAAGTGAATGCACAAAAAATGGTAAATTTCCTTGAGCAACGAAATTGAAATGTTAAATAGTCAATACAAGTTGATATTTTCCCTCCAAACAAAACCGAATTCAGGTACAAAACCTTTTGTGGCATAACCAAAACACTGTAGCTCACAAAAGAATTCTAGAAACAGCACAAACTCACTGACCATAAAAAGGATGCTGACCTGGGGTTGGTTGCACACCTGGTTGGAGGCCATACTGTGGCGGTCTCTGAGCAGTAATTCCAGCAGGACCCTGATCTAGCTGCTGAACTGGCATTGTTCCTCCAGCCATAGGGAAGGTAGGAACAGCAGGAGGTGGATATGTTTGACCTGGAAATGTGGTGGGAACTGAGACAAATGTTGGTCTCCCGGTTTGCATGCTTGGATCCCAGGATGCTACCTGTCCATCAGGAAGTTGTGCAGGCACGTTGCCAGTATACATTGATGTAGCCTGAGAAGTTTGCCAACCACCTACTGCACTAGGTACAGCAGCAGCCTGTTGCATCGGGAGTATACCGGATTCAGGGATTGTGTAATCCCTGCTTCTATCATTGTGAGCCTACAAGGATATATAAACCGCCAATCAAACTCGAGAAAGCTTGCATAAATAAGAGTAGGGGCAAATAATAATAACAAGTGTCAAGAAGCATACGTTGCTCGACCAACTCTTTTGGTTTTCCGAACAATAATGGACCCACTGTTTTCCTCTAAAGCCGTAAAACTTTTCCCTCCTATTTATGATCATAGATATAATAATTTAAAACTCTTATCTATACCTTTACATTGAGATCAGTATGACGAGAGTATGACAGATGAAGCTTACAATAGCCACCATCATAGATGCAGTGTCCCTCGAGGGCTTCTTTGGCAACAGCTGCAGTTGTGACATCTGACAGGATAAAAGCAATAAAAGATGAGACAAAACAACTGACAGGAAAAAAATACCACATAAAGCAGCGCACTACAATTTTTTCATTGTTAAAAATAGCATAAAGAAAGATTGACAATAGTACAGTAATCCTCCTCTCCTGAAGATAAAATGAGGAGCCTAAACATAGAATAGGATGGGCAAGTCCATTACAATAACTGCATTGTCTTGCAAAACGTTGTACGGACCAATGAGAAGTCAGAAATTTGAAAACAAAGCAGAATGAAAGGGTAAAAGAGAGGTTATCGAACGAATTTTGACGAATAAAGGCATAATGTGTCAAGCATTTGGATGATATGTAGATGGGTATGAATGTTATAGTGGTGCTATAAATGAACCGAAATTAGCATAATAGACAATGGAATCCACAATGGATTGAGGTTACAGCAACAGAAAATTAGTAATCTGTGGAAATTGAAATATGCATAGACCACGTAAAAAGAAAACACTTTTGCAAGCCTCTAATATCAGAGACTGACAGATAGTGATCCTGAAAGGACCTGAATGAATTGAGGCAACAGCAAAAGAAAACGAGTCATCATCATCATCATCCAATCCTTATCCCAACTATATGGGGCCAGCTATATGAATACTGTTTTGCCAATCTGTTATTTTAAATGCCATATCCATTGTTAAATTAATGGTGCTGGAATCATTTCTTACAACTTCTAAGTTCTACCCATGTCTTTTTGGTCTACCCCTTGCCCTACTAGTAGCCCCTTCAACTTGTAACAAAAAATAGGCATACACCACATCAAAGAAAAAACGCTTATGCAACTACTTGATATTTCAATTTGCCCTTTTCAGCCCAAAAAAAAAAAAATTGAACAACTCCAAGTTCCACCAAATTAAAAGTGGAACTAGAGGGAGGATACTATGTCCTAACATCAGCAGCAGTCAATAGAGAAATAATGAGACAGTGACTAATGAATTGCATTAAATGTACAAAGAATCCTACCAGGGTATTGGATTAGTGCCTGCATTCCACCATTCTTCTCAAAAATAGCAATTTTCTGGACAGTTCCAAATGCTGAAAATACCTGAAAACAGTGCAACTCTTATCATTTTAATATGTGGATGAACATTTAGCAAACAGGAACTTGCAAAAAGAAACCATCAAAGGAAATACTTACAGTGTGAAGAACATCTACTGTGACAGCATATTGCATATTCTCGATTGAAGCTAGAAGCACATTACTCTCTAGTTCTTTTTTCTTTCCATCAGGACCTACAGTAGACTGAATACAGAAAATTGTTAAGTGAGGCAACGTGTGCTAGAAGGGGACTCAAATATGGTGTTGAAATGGATTCAACAAAACAAACATGGACCTTGGCACTATTGGCACCACATGAAAGATAAGAACACTAGCTTCAAAACTGGATGCAAATTTCATATGGACATACAGATCAGCAAACAAGGTAGCTGACGCTATGGGAGTCAAGGGGTGAACGGGGAACAGTTGTATTGGGATATATTGTAATAGGGAACTGCATGTAGGGAGAGGGGGCAGGTGCCAACCTAACCAGGTGAATGCTAGGCATTCTATGTACCATTTGTAAATAACTCACCGTTTCTTATATACAACTTAATAAAAGTTGTTGTTACCAATCAAAAAATATATAGAAAGAGAGAATTGTTAGTGCATATTAATAATTTCAACACAAAGCACTTGACGGCCCGAACATAGGAAGCGTACCTGCATAGTGCCTTCAATGGCAGAAGGATTCACAGGAAGGTAAGGATTTGTATAATCCCTGGCAACACAAAACACAAAGAACCAATTATACCATGACATGTTTTACAAATGCAGCATGCAATAATTCCATATAAACAGCATGTTCAACCAAGCAACAGCAGTTGCAAAAAATAAATAGGAGAAAGAAGAAATTAAAGACACCACAATGCCACATACAAACACAACCAGATTCCACCTATTTGACCCTCATTAGTGCCAGTTCCTTATTCCTAGTTAAATAATCATAAAAGTAGATAGAAGCTCATAAAAAGATGTGTATACACACACACCCACAAACTAGCAATCCATTCTGAACAAGAAAGGCATTAAATAAACTTCCACAAGATGTCAAAAACTTAACCATGAACAACTGAGAAAATGAATTCAAGATTGCATATGAATGAGCATGGAATACTAAAAAACAACTTAACCATGTCAAATTTTTGTTGACAACTAAAATTTGGATGTGACAGGGCTTTGCGGTTTTCTATTTCTTAAGTAAAGAAGTGACTTGGCTTTATTAAATGCACTTTCTAACAATAGCACAACTAAATAAAGGAGCTCTGGAAGCTACCACAGATGCATAATTCATATAAGATGAAGGAAATTACTAAGTGATCATAATAGACACATCTGTATTCTGGCCAGCAAGCTTCACTAACCTTAGATAACAAAGCAGACACATCAACTAGCAACACCTTATCAGCCAAAATCAACACTACATGTCCAGATGTACAGAAATTATACACACACACATATACTAAAAAGCACTCCGGCTTTTAAAATTCCTGGTTTCCATTTTTCTGGAAAATTGGTGGAACAAGTCAAAACCCGGCCAGTTTGAACGATCCAACCAGTTTTCCATGACCTGCCCGGACCAACAAATGGCTACAAATTTTAAAAAGAAAGTAAGAGGATTTGAACTTGAGACCTCTTACTTACATCTATTAGCCTTCAGCCATTAACCCAGTGTGTCCCTTGTAAACATTTATGACTCTTAATATAAATATTGATCAAACACGTATATTTCTAAATAAAATGCAAGTTTCAAGACTTGAACCTCAGCCAATTATACAAAAAACATCTTAGTCATCTAGTCACTGCCCATATACATGTTTTTCATTACAAAATCTTTATATATATATATATATATATATATTTTGTGTCTGGTCTGAGTGTTAAAATACGCGTGTGTGTGTGCGCACGCGTGTGCGTGCCTGCGTACGTGTGTACAAGTGGCTCATTGTAATAACCAGTACAAAGTTAACTTCATGGCCTCAAAGCTTCCTAATACCTGCTACGATGAGATTGGAACTTGATATTCAGATCTGTATGTGCAGAAAATGAGATACGCAAGTGGCACGATCCAACATGCTCTGGAAGCAAATACCTAGAAGCCAAAAATTCATAATCTCATTTGTCAAAGCAGGACCATATTTATTGCTTTATTGCATAAATTCTTTTTTGGAGAAAAGATAACAGATTTCATTAACCAAGGGAGGGATGTACAAGGCCTTGTCAGCAGAAAACAAAAAAGCAAAGCCCACTAATAATTATATATATAAAGACTTGCCTCGGTATACTTCTTCCATCCAATGCATTCCGGGCTGAAGATGCAGTCTCAGCATCACTGAATTGGATTAATGCCTAAAAAATATGTTGTCAAGTTAAGAATCAAATGCATGAAATGTAGAACAAAAACAAATTATCTCAAATGATTATAATGAAACTGGAGACAACATGACCTGAAACCCAGCAGCCTTTTCAAATGTAGCAATTTTATGCACAAATCCAAAAGCAGAGAAAACCTGAAATATAGAAGGATTGGACATTTACATACCAAAATTCAAAGGAAGTCAGAAACCATTCCAGCCATGGTACAATGGATTGTAATGTGGATGTTAATGGATCTCAAATTAAGTGCCGGAGGGAATCTACTGTAAAATCATTCCAATGTACTTTAAAAAGGAATATATGGACATTAATATATTTTTAAATGCCTCAATGAAAGAAATTAAATGGCAGTGAACATCACCGTAAGTGAGGCAACCAACTTCAATAAACAACTGCACATAACGTAATCAGGAAGCCATCTCCAAACGAAATAAAAATAATAAAAAGAAAAAATCAGTCCACAATAAGACATTGCAGTGAAATTACTGAATTGAAGATTGTATGACAACATAGGTTCGAGAACCAACCATCTTTATCTGAACTCTGACTATAAACAATGGAAGTTTTTGGAGATTGGAAACTTAAAAGGATTCTCTATGTCTCTACATGCTTAAGCATGACACATCAAGAGAAGTTAGAACTTAGAAGAAATATCATCAGTATGATATTATGTGCATAATGCATAGGACAGAAAGATCAAAAGAAAGAGATAAGCAAAACACACGTGATATTTCCACCAATGCAGTACGCTGACAATGAAGATTTCTCCGTGTTAACATGGACCTGCTGATCCATGCAGAGCGTGTCAACTAGAAGTTTTTTAAAAAAAAGGTAAAGTGCAAAACCACCTTTTCCTTACAGAAAGAGTATATTAAAAAAAAGCATTTTTAACTAATCCATCCTTTTCTACACTTGGATCAACCAGGCAAAAGAAGTGTTTACTATAGTTGGTAAAATCAATAAGCCCCAAAGACATGTCATGGATTTATAGTGAATTGAGAACCAACCAAATGTATAACATCAATGCTGACATCACCAGCTTCAACACCCTCGATGGTCACAAGCAAGACATTCCCAGCAACATCACCAGAGCTTTTGTTGTTGACAATTTCTTGCCTATTTGAATATTGGATGTACACAGTCTTACCACGAACTTGTGCAGGTTCAGAAGAAGAAGCATAATAGGAAACCATTGATATTGCCTGATTCAGGTCTGCCTGCAAAAGGAAGACTCGTTTCAAAATACAGTTGCTACTTGAGAAACATAAATGAACATGAATGCACACACACCCACATCTAAATAAAGTACAAGGCATTTCAATCACTTCAAGAATCAAGTTACCACATGGTATAAGCTTATATGATGAATGACAAAGTGAAGAAAAGAAACAATTTTCTTCAAAATTAGACAAGGAAAAGTAAACATGACGTTACATGTAGGAATATAATTATTTACAAGAACGAAAGGCAATATTCCTATTTTGAGACATGTGTGGCTAAAATCACGGGACATGTAAGGTTTAGTATGTAAACTAGACTTGGAGAAAGCGTATGACATGGTCGATTGGTCTTTTCTGTTGGAAGCCCTGAGGAACTTTGGGTTTGGATAGAAATGGTGTGGCTGGATTGAGGCTTGTTTAAAAACTTGCCATTTTTCAGTTTTAGTTAGAGACTTCTTTCCAGCCTCTAGAGGGTTGAGACAAGGGGATCCTCTTTCTCCTTTCATTTTCACCTTGGTAGCCAGTGTGTTTAGTAGGCTCATTTCAACAGCTGATGGGTTGGATATGTTTAGAGGATGGAGGGTAGGAAGAGAGGGTATTGTGGTGTCACACCTGCAACTTGCGGATGATACAATCATTTTTTGTGAGTTTGGAGATCCCTCAAAGGCTAGAAACTTGAAAGGAGTAATAAAGTTGTTTGAATGTGTGTCAAAGATGAAGGTCAATTTTGAAAAGAGTTGTGTAGTGGGAGTAAATTTGGAGACTGAGGAATTAAGTGAGGTAGCAGAGTCCTTAGGTTGCCTTACATCTAGTTGGCCCTTGAAGTACTTGGGTATGCCTCTAGGAGATAATCCAAGAGAAGAAAGATTTTGGAATTCGATCATAGAAAAATGCACAAAGAAGCTGGTAGTTTGGAAGAGAAACTATATTTCCCTCGGGGGTCGGATCACTTTAATTAGAGCTACTCTTGCGAACTTGCCAACTTACCTTCTGTCCGTCTTTAGAATGCCACAAAAGGTGATTTTGAATGTAGAGAAAGTCATGAGGGATTTCTTGTGGGAGTTGGGGGAAGGGAGGAAGGATCATGTGGTTAGGTGGGAAATAGTGTGTAGGAGGAAGGAGCAGAGGGGTTTGGGATTAGGCAATCTAAGGAAGAAAAATACAGCATTACTAGGTAAATTGCTGTGGAGGTGGCCTCTAGAAAGGGATAGACTTCGGCATAAAGTGGTAAGGAGTGTGCATGGTGTTGTAGACAATGGATGGGATGCTGGTGTATCACGGCGTCTATGCTGAAATCCCCATGGAAGGCTATTCATAGTATTCTTCCCATTTTCCTGAACCTGATCAGGTATGATGTTAGTACTAGAGATAGGGTTTTGTTTTGGGAGGATGTTTGAATTGGTGATTGTGTTGTGCCCTCAAGGACCTCTTTCCCTCCTTGTATTACATCTCGTGTTTTAAAAATGAGCCAATTCAAAGGTTTGTATCCTCATCCTTTTCTTCTGGCATAAACTGGAATCTGAGTTTTAGAAGAGATTTGAGAGATTCTGAGCTTAACCAAGTTGCCTTGCTCCTTAAAACTATTGATCCCGTTTGCTTGGACCCTCCTTATGCAGATTCCCGTATTTGGAAGCCTTTACCTTCAGGATCCTTTTCTTTTGCTTCCTTGTGTTCCTCTCCATTGCCTCAAGGCCCTCAGCCTTTTCATAGCAAGGAAGTTTGGTCCAAACCTGTCCCTCCTAAAGTTGGAGCCCTTTGTTGGGACGTCTCCCTCGGGAAAATCAACACTTTGGATGTTTTGCAAAAAAGAAGACCTAGTCTTTGTATCTCTCCTAACTGGTGCACCCTATGCAAAGCAAACAAGGAAAGTTGCTACCGTATACTAATCACTTGACCATTTGTTGTAGGCCTTTAGGAAAAGCTTTTTGATCTTTTTGGGTGCAGGTGGTCAAAACCGGTGCATATTTGCAATCTTTTTTATCCTACAACTTTCAAGTGGCCAAAGAAAAGAGGAAGAGTTTTGTGGAGGTGTGTTAGAGCTGCTTTGGTGTGGACTGTGTGGGAGGAACAAAATGCTAGAATCTTTAATGACAAGGAGAGGGATCAAACATGTGTGTTAGAAAGTATGATGTAAGCTTTATGATGTAGGCGCCTCTTAGTGGGGAATTGTATGATGTATACTTAGTTCTTAAATTAATAAAATTTCCATTATCATTATCTATCAAAAAAAAAAACAATACAAGCAACAAGATTCAAATTACAAGGCGAGTTTACATGACACCATAGCATTGGACAATCAAACTGAAGAAATTATTTACATATTTTCCTGCTTGAACAAAATGTTACAAAAAGAAATAAGAATTAAATGTGGTTGGACTTTGGAGGAGACAAAAATACTTCTAATCAGTAAAGCAAAAATAACATTGTTAGTATTTCAAGGCTCCATATACAGCTTTGAGTTGTTTCTACATGGAGACGAACACATGAATCAGAATCAGATGCATATTCAGGAGTCTGACAAAGCAAGACAAAGAAACAAGGACTCGTGGATGCATCCATAGAAAAGTTTAAACTATTATAATTGTCCATATTTTGTTGAACCCTATGGGAAATGGTCAAAAGATCATCTTTGTTACTTGATAACACTTTATTGGGAAGATGACATTCATTTTTTGCATTTGCTGTTCATTTATGTGGAGTGCTTGAGTAAGTAAATTAGAAAAGGAAAATGTCACATAGAAGTATTCTTCAAAAAAAATATTGTGTATCCAAGATGGGCACTTGATCCATTTAGGAGAATCCATGAATATTGCCTTAAGGAAAGCTAAAATTTACACTCTACTGTACAAAATTTTACCAAAAAAAAAAAGAAAGGAAAGAAAACTGAGGGAATACATATTCATTAGAGATGGAAGAAGAAAAAGAGGGAAGGAATATCCATTGACAATTATGCAATCATGATAACTGAACATGGATCACTCATCAAACTAGACAGGCAGACACTTAACTGAAATATCTCGTGGTAGAAAATCATCTCAACATATCAAAAACATTCCTGCCCCCTCCACTCCAGCAAGGTTATTTTATCTGAAAGATGGGAGAAGGTTCCGTTCCATGTTAAACTTTCTGGACTTTGGGTTGTCTTGACAGGTTCCAGATTGCACCTTTGGTCAGGAAATATCTCACCCAGAAAACAGAAATAGTAAATATCAAAATTGCTTCAAATCTGAGCAATATAATTAAAAGACCCATGTTGTAGTGCATAATCTTTTTTGGCAGTCAATAAAAAAGAAAATTAATTAAGAGGTAAGAGAAAGAGTACAAGCAAGGGGATAAGGAACACCCTCCTAAAAGGAAAAAAAAAAAACCAAAATTATCCTCCCTGACTCTTATGGTACTCACTTTCCCCGTCCAAAACAGATAAAGCTCCCAAAGCCATAATAAACATCCAACTCACCAAACAAAACACTCACTCAACCCAACAACAAAACACATACCCTCAAGTAGCTGACAACTCCCCACTACTTATGACACTATGCTTCAGTTTAATCCTGCCTAGAAGTGTTGCCAGACCACTCATCTTTTCCAGTGGCTTGAACCGGAAACTCTTTACCTCTCTTGCTTACTTTGCTTGTTTTGATCACCTTCTTAATGGGTCGAACTCCAAATAATCCCCCCTTCAACCTTGAGAAAACATTTGACACCTTAACTGTTCAATGATTGCTTTGGATCTTGAACATTCTTACTGCATTAGTAATCTGCACATGAGCCTTTGGATCCAGTCTTATTATCGATCCTTTCTAACTCCACAACCACATTCTTCTCAAAGAGCTGACCTGCGACTATAACATCATCTTTATTAAGGCCATGCACTGTGGCTCCAAATGACCTCAAACCATCCTCAGAAACTGCATTCCTTACATTGATGCCAAAAGAATCCGAATTGTCAATTCTTTTCTTTTCATCCTTCCTTTGTTCTTTTTTAGCCTCCTTGCAAAATACCACCCCCCCCCCAAAAAAAAAAAAAAAACAAACCTAAAGTTTTACTCACTTCTACCTCCCTGTTCATCACCGTTTCCAGATCAAGATTGCTCTGAATCTCATGTATTTATTCAACATTACATCGTGTTCTACAAGGTTACAGAAAACAAGTAAAATGATTTGAAGCTCGTAATTAACTAACATATTAAAGCATGACACTAGATTGCTTGAGTTGGAAGACGGTATTTCTCTTCATTATTGATTCTAAATGGGTAGGATCAACCTCTTGCTAGTTCTTTATCATCTGACATTTTATCCTCACAACAACATTAGCTTTCTCATGTTAAACCTATTCAACCATGCAAAGTTAATGTTGGGTAGCCATCTTTTATTAAAGCAGAGGAATAGAAAATTGTAACTTCTAGGAAAATTAAATTAATTGGTAAACAAAGGAGATCAGCATCCTTCAGAATGAGAGAACTATCAAATATGAACCAAAAACATCCAATTAAGAGCAGAATCTACTAAAATGCATCACTGTGATGCCTGGACGAACAATCTAACGCCATTCTCACAACCTTTTTTATTGCCAATGCTCCACTCTTCCCTTGCTTCCACCATTAATCCATTTCAGCCTTGCGTGTATTAGTTTGAATAATAACCCTACTATATTCTGGCATAGCCATTAGCCTTATTTCTATTTGGACGTCGTAGAGTGCAGCTATGGAAGCGAAGGCATCAATTCAGCAATTGCCACGGCTGGCAATAGCACATAGAAACATATCATAACAAAGATCCAAAATAAGAATTCCCCGTGTTCGGAAATTTCTATACTTCTATTAGCAAAATCCACCGGATGGACGGCAGTTCAGATCGAATAAACTCATGTACAATAGACCGAACAAATAACAAAAACTAAATGCGCATTAAAATCCAATGCACAAGGGTGAAATTGAAAGGCAAATATAAAGTCTATGCACAGGATGGAAGTACTTACGAATTCGACAAAGGCTTGATTCCGATTGGCACCAACGTTGCATTTGGTGTTGACTATCTTGCCAAAGGGCTTGCAGAGTTCAACAAGCTCTTCTTCTGTGCATTCCCAAGGAAGGTTACGTAGGTGCAGAACCTTCGACGGCGTCTGCGTGTACCGGAACTGAGGCTGCCCCGACGAAGAAGACATCTAATTCAAAAGGTTTTGGAGTTAGGATTAGGATTTTGAAAAGGATGAGGAGTAGGAGAGAGAGAGAGAGAGAGAGATAGAGAGAGAGAGAGAGAGAGTACGATAAAACTACGGAATTACTGAACTTGGGGTTCTGCCCTGTTTTTTCAGGATTTTAGGGCTTGCGACTTGAGGGAGAGCGAGAGGAGACGAGAGTTACTGTTAAAGCAAGAAAGAAAGATAGCTTGGGTGCGTCTATCCGGAGAGAAATTGTTAGATGCTACACGACTCAAATGCTTTATTTTCTTTTTCGTGTATATGCAAAGCGAGGGACCGGAACTGCTACCCACAATCGGTGATGGGATCTGCTCCTTACGATAGGCGCCTCACACGCACATAAACATCTTCCGTACTTATTAATTGTGAGCGGATCCGGTTTCTACTAAACGCTATCTTCCTACGTGGCATTACAGTCGCACATCGGGAACATCTAGCAATGAACGTGGGAAGTTGTTCCCGATGCACGGAGCTTCAGTACGTAAGACGTAGCAGATCCGAGCTGGCAGAGCGAAGGCTGTTCTTAGCATGGTGCGTTCTGTGATGGAACCACCTGTCTATTGTACACATAGGCCGAGATGTATCGCCCCATGCCTGCCGTACACGTAGGCCGATGTTATGATAGATCACACACATCTCCGCCCCACAAGAGGCCGCCCTACAACGCCCCACAGCACATCCCGCCGTGTATTAGGAACATCTCTTGATGAAGACATATGAGGCCGTAAGAGAAGAGATCAAATCTGCCCTCATACCGTCCCACAGCATATTCTTGCCGTGTATTGAGAATATCTTTCGATGATAATATAAAAAATGATGATGTCATTATTAGAACTGATATTAACTTATGTTTAGAGTCATCTTTAGAGTCCCCGCCCTGGACAGCTGCAATGGCTATTGGAACCGGTTGTTGGGACCTTATGTTGTGTGATTAAAGGGTTTATTTGGTTTGCGGACAGGATTGAAATCATAATTGGAATTTCCAATAATCAGAACCGGATTCTTATTGTTGTTGTTTGGTTCATTTGAAATTGAAAATGGAATAGACTAAAAATTTTTTTACTTTATATTAGTCTATTTATTATTTTATTAATATTTTGGGAATATATAATTATTATTTTATTAGTATTTATCATTAATTTATGAATATTCCATTAATACATTATTATTTTATTGTTACATTAATAATATTTTTTTTTATTATTTATTAATATTTTAATTAATAATATATTATTTTATTGTAATTAGGGTTTGGGGCTTTTTATCATGAGCTCTTTACTTCTTGACAAAATCTTGAATGAAAATCCCATCCATGCCAATCAAACGATATGAATCATAATAGGCATCTATTCCTAAAAATCAAATAGACCCTAAATCTGGTAATTAGAATATTTTTGTCTTTGGGTTTTGATGAGGGCGGATTTGGCCCTCCAATGACATTGTAACATATGGCATCTTGGAACAGCTGGATGACACATGGACACCACCTAATCGATGACTTTGAGTCCCATATCACGGTTTCTCTTCGCCCTGACTTGGCGACCTACCTTCATCGCCAACTTGGCGACCTCGACCACAACTCAGGTCAGCTAGAAGCACCTCGTCTAGGGCCGACCTGTAGCACCTCATCACTGGCCGAAGTGACCTCGATGCAAGGAGCGACCTCCCTCGAGGGCGTGCCAGCCTGACTGAGGTCATAGTGGCGACCTACAAAACGTGCTCGTCGACAAATTCAACATGCATATCTTGACACTCCCACATTTCTCAAAAGTTGGCCCACGTACCGAACATTTCGGAGGGTGGTCAACGTGCATGGTGGTTACCTCCGGGGATCTCAGACCGGTTAGGCGATCTCCTGGAAATCTTCGATGCGGTGCATGAAGCCCACACCAAACAATGCCTATATAAAGGAACCAACACCAATGACACAGAAGGACACACGATTAAGTGCATTATAGCTCTCCCATTTCTTAAGCTCTCAACTCACAGTTACTGACTTAAGCATCGGAGTGACCTCGCTGGGTTAGTCACCCCAGGTTCTTTGATCCCCTTTTTTCTTTGTAGTTCGAGCAATCTATTTCTCAACAGACATCCGAGCTACCTTACTGCTAGGAGCATCCAAATCATGCACCATCAATTGGCGTCGTCCGTGGGAAACGCTACAAGAAGTTAAGTTCTCACCTTCTAAAAAGCTAAGTCCTCATCTTCCAGAAAGCTAAGATCTCGCCTTTTAAAAATTTAAGTTCTCACTCTCTAATTTCAATTTTTTTATGAACTAAAAAGCATTTTTGAGCAACACCAACGTCTAGAGCGAATATCAATTACTAGGGGGCAAGAACATCTGTGATGAACCTCGAGAACTCTCATGTCACAATCAGACAAGTTCAGGCCGAACCCAGCATTCCCAGTGCCCCAAATAAATACACCGCACCATGCATGAACGCCCCTCTCCCCACGGTAGAGCCATCAGCGGTTCTCGCCAGGATTGAAGCATGGCAGTTCTATGAGATGAAGCATGAATTTCTAGATCCGAGCATGGGAGGAGCCCGATGTAGACAGCAACAGAACGATCTCAACTCATCCTCAACAGCAGTCAACTAGGACGAGGTCTCACAGCCCCATTTCACGAGGTTGCCTCTACAAGTTGAGCTCTTCGTAGCTCCCACGGGAGCCGGCGACCAACGGGCTGCATGGACGCCCTTGTAGGTCAAGCCTTCCAAGGCTCCCGTGAAAAATGGTGACCTAAAGTCAATAGTTCTACCCCCGCAAGTCAAGCTCCCAGTGACTTCTTGTAGGAGTGGATGACTGGCATCACTACGAGGCTGATGCAGTGCATCCGTGGCCCCGAACTGCCGACTCACACTGATAACAACTTTATGTATCAACAACCCTCACAAGGGGGGCAAAACATGTACGTTGTGGTCTCGGAACCACTCACCCAAGAAAATAATCCCACGGGATGACGTAGAATCTGCCATATGAGAAGTTACTACAGAATGACCACCCGCTTAGGCGGAGAGGTCAGGCCGCACGTCGGCTAAATAATATTATGGGGAGTGGACTATGAATCGCTCCTAGAGCCTAAGGGCTAAGGTGTCGAGCTGGTAAAAGACCTTGGCACCACATGAGACCCAGTCACCTTTTCGGCATTGGCAAAATCAAGGATAAGTAGAGTGGACCGCTAGTCACTCCCAGAGCCTGAGGGCTAGGGTGTCGAGCTGATAAAAGACCTCGGCACCACATAAGACCTAGTCGCCTCTTTTGCATGGGTGAAATAAAAAGTAATTCGCATTCAGCACAAGAAAGAGAACAAAGGAAAGACTAGCTCGCTCTCAACACCATGACGGATGCAAACTTGCTCGATTTCTTCACTTCGGTTTCAGGCTCCGCGTCGAACTCACTGGCTACTCTTTTGAGAACCAACTCGAGTGACACTGCGTCGAAGTCTACCTAGGTGTAGTGACCTAATAAAGCAATCACGCAGTTAGAACCACTTCTTGAGGACGGTATGATGAGCTTCGCTCTTGAGGTACTTAGCCGGATTGCAGAACCCCTTGATGGTCACATCCCTAATAAGGTAGATCTCCTTGGGATGCTTGCTTCACCTCTCGTCGAGCAGATGAATTCGCTCCCGTGCCCTGATAATCAAGATGGCGAGGTCCTGCATAAGGTTGCAAACACTTGGACTCTTCCAACCTAAGAAGCAAATTGGACCGTCGCTTACGACTATGAGCTTATCGAATCAGTCATTCCAGGCCAAAAGGAGCGATCTACTCCCTTTGCCGAGCTACTTTTAGCTCGGGAGTGGGGGCAGTTGATGAGGGTGGATTTGGCCCTCTAATGACATTGTGACACATGGCATCTTGGAACAACTAGATGACAAATGGACACCACCTGATCGATGACTTGGAGTCCTAGATCGCGGTTTCTCTTCGCCCCGACCTAGCGACCTGCCTTCATTGCCAACCTGGCGACCTCGACCACAACTCAGGTCGGCTAGAAGCACCTCGTCACTAGCCGAAGTGACCTCGACGCACGGAGCAACCTCCCTCGAGGGCGTGTCGGCTTGACTTAGGTCCCGGTGGCGACCTGCGAGACGTGCTCGTCGACAAATTCGGCATGCATATCCCAACACTCCCACGTTTCTCGGAAGTTGGCCTAGGTATCAAACGTTCCGGAGAGTGGTCAACATGCATGGTGGTTACCTCCACGGATCTCGGACCGGTTAGGCGATCTCCCGGAAATCTCGGATGCGGTGCGTGAAGCCCACACCAAACAATGCCTATATAAAGGCACCAGCCCCAATGACACAATAGGACGCGCGATTAAGTGCATTCTAGCTCTCAGCTCACAGTTACTGACTTAAGCATCGAAGCAACCTCGCCGGGTTAGCCACCCCGAGTTCTCTGATCCCCTTTTCTCTTTGCAATTCGAGCGATCTATTTGTCAACAGACGTTCGAGCTGCCCTACAGCTAGGAGCATCCAGATCGCGCACCATTAGGTTTCGGTGTATATTTTTGGATGCACAAATCTCCTATCCCCAAACTCACAAACTCTTGGGCTTGCATCACCCCATTCCCACATGTCTTTCCACAAGACATAGGACATTACAATAGTGCATTGGGAATATCTCTTTTGTGTGAGTTCACAATGGGAAAAAATTGCTCTGTCCAAGATACTTCTGTTTTTTTCATGATGGATGATTCAACCACACCTCTTGTTTTGTTGAAATTCTTCGAGTGTTAAATGAGGTGGCTTAAACATCCACTATGAAAAAGTAGAAGTATGCACATCTCCACCTTGTCTTGGGAACATCTCCCAATGACAAGTACAGGAGATGTTTCTAATGCATGCCAAGATGTGCATGTAGGGCGCTGATGTGATGTCGTGTTATGTGGGTAAGGATGTGGGAACATTTTGTGAGAAGCAGATCTAGAGCACAAATTCTTGAATTTGGATCTCATCCCAATAAAAACTACTACCATAGTTCCAACCCTCTACTAACATAATCTCACACCGCAGATCTCATACGTGGCAGGTCCCACTTTTATGGTGGGTCTCCGTTACATAATGAGATGTGTGGTGTTAGATGAAGTTGGTAGTTTCCTTGGTAGAAGATCTCAACTCTGTCATTCATGGGAAATGTTCCCCATGTGCAGTTGTAATGTTTTGTAAGTAAGGATTGTAGGAAGGAGATCCGGACGGGTCTGGATATCATGATAATATGCATCAAAATAAATAACTACATTGCAACGAACCCGAGAACAAAAAATACTTTAATCAAATAGAATTGAGAAAAACCATTGTTCTCAACGCATTCCACCAACAATTGCAAATACTAGGGGTGCAACTTGCATGGATCCAACCCCAAGCTGTAATTTTACATAGGATGGATTTGGATTGTGTATCCTCAAACTAGCAAAACACGGTTCAACCTCATAACAACCTAGTCCAACATTATCCCAATTTAAACTTGGCCCAACTATATGCATGCACATGCATGTATACATATATAGACACATATTTGCAATGCATACATTCATATTTGCATATTTTTGATAAACATACATGTATATATATATATATATATATATATATATAAACACATTTATGTGCCCGTTTGAGAGGGCTCAAGGGATGCGACTTCTGGCATTCCAAGCTAGAGTCCCACACGGGAATGCTATGTTTGGTGAAAATCCGAGAAACTGATCACTGTGTTTTGGACACTAAAAACTCGTCTAAAATAGGAAGCTATTCCAGATAGCTTCTTCGAAGCACAGGTGCTCAACCAGCATCTCACCTCTAACTCAGAAGCCCTCACAAATGGGTTCTAAGTGTAGGCTGATCGACTAACCTGAGCCCAATTCGAATGCATCAAATTTATGTGGACTGGGCTCGAATTGAACAGTTAGGGGTTGGGCCTCAATTGAGCTTAAACTCGATCCAACCCACCCGATTTGCACCCTTCCAAATAAAAAAGCAAAACGTTCTTCCAAGCAAGGAATCTTGAAAATCTAAGTTTAAAGACCAAGATGGTGGCTTAATTGGTAGGATCTCTGCTTCCTTATGGCATAGGCCTGGGATCAAATCCCGCTTCCACCAGGGTTGGCAGAGTTGCTTAGCCCCATGAGGCCAAAAAAAAAGACCAAGATGCATCACATCATATTCCAGAAATACGAGTCCAGCATATACTTCCTCAGAACGAGCTCTAAAATAAGCAAAGCCCAATTGTAGAAGAGAAAGATTGTTATTTATCAAGAATGAAAATTTTAATTACAGGTTCAATTATGATATGGAAAAGATATGATATCCGAAAAACAACTGACCAATAAATTGGAATCATAAGTGTGGTAACAAATAAGGTGTTATTTATCAAAATTCACGGGTGAATTTTAATTGGTCAAAAACTCTTTCCATACCATATCTTTTCCGCATCATAGATTTTCCCTTTAATTACAGATTTCACTGGAAGTCTGGAACTATTAATTGGCAAATCAATCTTCAACAAAAAAGGGTACAGAAATGAATTGCACGAGGCATCACAATCATTATTTGATGTTATTTACTTGCTATTCCATATATGTGTGGGCGTATGATGGAGAAGGTAGATAATAGTGTCGTGTTAATGTTAACATCTGAAAACCCAGCTTCAGAAATAAGTTTTCCTGTGTCCCTCGTGAGATGACACCCATCAGCTACTATCTGTTGCAAAGGATCCAGAAGACCTTGTGCGAATCTTAGCAATGTTCCATCTGCACAACCAAAACAAACCCATATATACCAAGATCAACTACATCATCCTACTGCAAAATTTAAAAAAAAAGAGAAAGAAAGAAAGAAATCTGTATCAGTTTAAATAATACCTTGTGCAGCCACGTGCTCCATAAATACATAGAGACCACCCGGTTTCAGTACCCTTTTAATCTCTAGTTGCAATAATACAAGAAAGCATTATTGAGCTTTGAATCTTAAAGCCTCTACATTCTTAATGAAAAGAATTCATCTTGCAAATGAGTTCACTTCAGGTATATTGCAGCAGTATGTTTTATCTGAGTCCTTGGTTGCATAAGATTCCTTTCTGTAAATTAGGCACTTCCATAAATATTAAGTTGCATTGATACATACAGCGATCAAAATACATTATAGTCTTGATCATGGCACTCTTTGCGATAAAGAACTAACTAGGGTTCCTTTATAACGAGAGAAGCCAACTTAATGACTCAGCAAAAATCTGACCAAAAATTTGACAACACCAAGTGGTAGAATAAGAGTATAAGTTTGTCTGCAAAATTTTCAAAACCTAAAACTTGTATTTGATAATGAAGTGCAAGTCCAGTGAGATAAAAAGGCCCTAACTAAATGAAAGTTTCCAAGATATGTTTCAAGCTGGTAAACCGACCACAAGGAGGAAAAAAAAGGATTAATAGAGATCCAACAAACTTAAATACCTTCAAAAGTGATTTTTTGTTTCTTTTTGGAGAGGGGAGGGGGGGTAGGGCTGTAAGAAACACAACATTATCATTCGACAGAACAGAAACTAATACAAATGCCCCAATGACAGAACAGAAACTTAAATACCTTCAAGCGTTAGTTTAACATCTTTGACAGAACATAATACAAGTGTCCCAACAACTGCATCCATGGAAGCATCACTTACTGGCAACGCCTCTCCAACCTGCAGTAAATATTATCAGTATGCTAGTCCCCCAAGAAACCAGCTTAATGGCTCACTTTTTTTTCTTCTGGATCAGCAGCTTTATGGATCATATTTTATAATTTTTGAAATCTGTAAACAATTCTCAAAACAAAAACAAGGTAACATAAATATATAATCACCAGAAAATACAATAAAATCCAATTTACATCCAAGAGGAAAAAGGATTTGGCTCTCAAAAATCAAATGTATGATAGTCCATTATCCAATTATTCCAGGTCTCACTTTCACAGTGGAAAATAACAAATTAACTCCAAAAATGTTGCATTCTATTGCCTAAAAGACATAACCAAGTAAATCATTTTTTCTTCTTTATAAGAAAATCCTTATATAATTATTTTTGAAGACTAGGTACATTTGCTTTTCTAAGTAGAAAATCAAATGTTACAGGCTAAGGTCTGTATTAGAAATTGCAAAAGCCAAATTCACCAGTTTAGTCATCAAAACAGAAACATCAATTTCAACGATTCAGTATGAGTGTTGGATCTTATGATTGTTTTAAGTTTAAACACACAAGTAAAAAACATAGAGAGAGATATGTCAAGGCCTATCCAAATTCAAAATAATAGATCATGTCCATCTTCTCAACTGAGCTTCAGATGCTGATGATGTGTTGACAGGAAAGAATCCTTTTAGTTTAACCATTCCCATTGTCATTCTAAGGGGTCATTTGATAACTTCTGAAATAGACGCTGAAAGTGGAATGCTGAGAAGATTCCTAACTTAAGAATGGCTTAAATCCAGGGGCATCATTAGTATATGATTGTTATACAGGAGAAAAGAAGAGAGGAAGAGAGAAGAGAGAGGAAAGAAGAGAGAAGAGAGAAGAGAGATTTGAGAGTCAAAAGATTATGCTGGCGGCGCCAGCTTTTAGTATTTATACTAGGGCGACAAGACATAAAAAAAAGGAAAGTACAATAGTACCCCTACAGTACTATACTTAAAGAATAACCAACTTTTAACACTCCCTGGCTCCCCCTCAAGTTGGGACTTGGAACATAGATGTCAATCATGCCCAACTTGTCACATAAATCATGATGTCGTGAGTGATGTAACCCTTTTGTAAAGATGTCTGCAAGTTGGTCTTTAGAGCTCACATAAGGGTTACACACTTCCCTTGTGACGACCTTTTCTCTGATAAAATGTTTGTCGACTTCGATGTATTTAGTTCTATCATGCAGCACTGGAGTAGCAGCAATGTTTATGGCTGCTTTGTTATCACAAAATAGAATCATAGGTCCATCAACTGAAAAACCCAACTCACTCAACAATTTTTTTAGCCACATAATTTCAGCCACTCCATGAGACATTGCTCTATATCCGGCTTCAGCACTAGACCTAGTTACCACATTCTGCTTTTTCCTTCTCCGGGTAACTAGGTTCCCTCCCACAAAGGTACAGTAGTCGTTGGTCGACTTCCTATCATTCAGGGATCCTACCCAATCTACATTGGTATACACTTCAACTTTCAAATGCCTGTACTTTTGAAATAATAAGCCTGCACCTGGAAACTTCTTAAGATATATGAGAACTCTTTTTGCTGCTTCAAGGTCGGTAGTCTTAGGGGCATGCATGAATTGGCTAAGAACACCCACTACATAAACAATGTCTGGTTGAGTCATAGAAAGATATAATAATCTTCCTACAAGTCTCTAAAACTGTTTCACATTCTCGATGGGTTCACCTTGGCAGTCACCTAATTTGTGATTATGATCAATAGGATTCACTCCCAATTTTCCTGTATCCTGGAGTAGATCTAGGACATACTTTCTTTGGGAAATGAAGATACCCTTTTGTGAGCGGGCCACTTCAATCCCAAGATTGATACTGCTTGTATCCTCTTTGCTGAACTGCTACATGAAACCTGCTGAACCAAGCCCTTTCGGTGATTGTTTTTTTTTGATAAATAACATCAATTCCATTAAAATAATGAATAGATACAAGAAGATCCCCTTAGAAGTGAGGAGCAGCCTCTCCAAACAGCAAATACACAAACTACAACAGAGAAAACATGAATGTTGAAACTAAAACAATAGTTACAATTGTGCCCAGAACAATGTTTCCCTATTTATCCCTTGTTTTGCCAAGACATCAGCAAAAGCATTAGCTGATCTCCCAACCCATTGTACT